GTTTTTATTACCAAAAAAATGGTTGATATGGTCCTCTAGACATATATCCCAAGCCATGACACGCTAATGCTATTGTATTTGCATCTCAATTTCTTCCTTTTTAATTGCTTAACCTGAAAGAATAATCTAGCAGTGAAGTGATGATAGGTGTTGAGTAGACCTTTCCATGGACCAAGCTCAGTCTTGGCTTTTTCCAAAATTTGAATGGGCTCGGCCCAAAACATTGGAAATCCGAGCCTGAAGCCCGGCCCTTGAACATGTGTAGTGTTGTGCAAACATATTGTATCAGCAAACTGATGACTTGCCCATCAATGACCGATGTATATGGGTTGATGTATGTGTTGGCAGGTTCAAGGGGATTGTATGTGGCAACATGCACATAATCATTTGAGTGAACTATCTTTATCATGAATGCACTAAAATTCCATTCCTTTGACTCTCTTTTGTTGGGTAAAAAATCCTCCATTATGATCTGGTGGAACCTATCAAACATGGAATTCAGTATTGTACTGTGGTTTAGATTGTTGATAACAAGATTTGTACCAAGATTTAGCAGTTTTGAGCCAATTTTCTTCAGAAAAACAGAATTGACTCTATGGTTGCGTTTGGAAACAATGCAAATATGTAGTGTAAAATGGTTCATATTAGTTGGGTTAGTTTTGTACTAACAAATTTACCTTCTTACCAAACATTTAGTATAACTCTAGATTGACTGCAGAAGCTGCAAATTTCTTGAATCAGTATTTCATAAGTTAATTAAAAAGATAATCCAAAATAGAGGCATTGAGGAGCTTGACCACAAGGTATGTGGATGAATATATGTTAGACATGATAGTGTCTAAATTATTGATTTAATTATGATGTATGATGTATACTAGTCTCAGTTTGGGAAGATTACAAATACAAATATGTTCATTACAAATACAAGGTTTGTAATACAAGGTTCTGCACTGTACATATTTGTATTTGCACTCTTCCCAAATTGAGCCTTAACAACACAGTAAGAAGAAAAATAAACTAACCTACAATAGCTAGTGAAATACTAAATGATTGGTACTCAGCTTTGTTATAATTACCACTGAAATACTTCATATGACTTTTCTATTTTAACTACTAACATATGACAATCTGTCCTTTTGACACAGAGTTACAGACAAAACCTCTAGTTTCAAATTGGTAAATATCCAACAACCTCCAACTCCAAAAACATTCAAAATGTCAAAAACCCCCACTCTATACACCAACGCCCGCCCATGAATTGGCATCAATTCTGAGCTGGCACCCACCCCAATTGTACTTTGGACCTAAAAATTCTGACCTTCGGCTGAACCGCTATTCTCCCTATGAGGCCTAACCCTTGTCCAATTTGAAACCAATCAAAACTGAAGCCGACATAAAATCACTTTTATGAAAGTAATTTTACAAAAGCACTTTTATAAAAATACTTTTATGAAAACACTTTTATAAAAGTAATTTTATGAAAAACTTTTATGAAAGCACTTTTACAAAAATACTTTTATGAAAGCACTTTTATAGAAGCAGTTTTGTAAAAGCACTTTTACAAATGTAATTTTATGAAAGCACTTTTATAGAAGTACTTTTACACAAGCAATTTTATGAAAGCACTTTGACAAAAGAGCTTTTACGGAAGTACTTTTATAAAAGCACTTTTACGAAAGTATTTTTATAAAAGTACTTTACGAAAGCACTTTTATGGAAGTAATTCTATAAAAGCACTTTTACAAAAGCACTTTAATGAAAGTACTTTTACAAAAACACTTTTATGAAAGAACTTTTACAAAAACACTTATAAAAGTACTTTATGCGAAAATATTTTTATAAAAGTACTTTTATAAAAACACTTCTACAAAAATACTTTTACAAAAGTACTTTTATAAAAACACTTCTACAAAAGTACTTTTGTAAAAGCACTTCTACAAAAATGATTTTTTAATGCCAAAAGAATATATTTTTGTAATTTTTTTATTTTTTTCATTTTAATATATTTTTGTAAATTCTTTTATATTTTGTTTGTTAAATAATTTTGATATTTAATTCAGTTTGAATTGGATCCAATCTATTCTATTTACATTTTAATAGATTAAATTGAATTTGATTTATATTGAATTTGAACTGAATTGGGTCCAATTCATTTGTAAATAGACTCACATTTAGACCAAATCTAATCCAATTAACATCTCTAGATTCAAAAACAAGAATAGAGGTAAATCGGTCAACTAGTGGCTATGGCGTATGGAGGTAACTTTGATGATTTGTTTATTTATTTGTCATTTTATTTGGTCATGGCAATCAATAACGAATCAGATCCAATCTAATCATATATATGAATTTTAATTTTATTGAGTATTTAATGCATGTAATCTTTTAAAATACTAGAACTGCATGACCGACCTTCAATCTCCCCTAAATCTTGCACCAGGATGTGTTGGTACAATTAATGCTATGGATTCAATAGAAGTCTGACTCATGCAGTCTAATCCGACTATTACGCCTATGAAAAGATTGAGGAAAAAAGAAAAGAAAATTTCCACTTTACACTACCTAAACTTTCAAACAATGTTCAAAATGTCAATATGTTGTACAGGCGTATCGGGGAAATCAATACTGTGGGGCCGGTTTAGAGCTCCTCCACCCCTGAACCGGTCAATCCCTGATATCATATTAAAAGGGTCTCAAAATGATATGTATCAGTCAATATGGGTCGATATATATCGATAATTTGAACCTTACTTTCAAAAAGTGTTTGAAAGTGTCACTGACATTTTTTTCAAAAAGTGTCAAATTCTCTACCGTTAACCTACGTTAATTTTCTATTGAAAGTATCTTCTTTTGAAGGGTAATTTTAATATTGTCAAAAGATAATTAACAATTGATTAAGGATAAGGATCAACTTCTTTTTGAAATTTTAGGTAATGCAGTGATACGTTTAAAAGTTCGGATACTAACTTAACACTACCCAAAATTCAGTACTAGAGGTGTAAAGTGTAAAGTGGGCAGTGCTCTGTCCAACTAGTAAAGGTGCAAAGTGTGGGCCATGCCATGCTGGCCCATAGGTTGTCACGGACTGTGCCACCCTCCACAATAAAAAATTTAGGGTCAGCCCGACACAGCTCATGGCTCGGGCCCGTGCCATGCCGCGAGCCAAGCCTTGAGCCAGGTCGGGCTGTGCATCGGGCCAAAGCTATTTATTTAAAAAAATATTGACAAAATACTTAAAATTTTAATTTTATATGAATTTTGTGTATAAAATTACTTATATATGCAATAATTAAATAAATTAGTATAATAAAATTAAAAAAAATATTTATTTTATTAATATACTATATACTATATATTATTATATAATTATAATTTATATAATATTATATAACTATATATATGGGTCATGCCGGGCCGGGCTGGGCCATGCCGGCACGCAGGCCACAGACGACAAGGAATGAGCTGTTGTGCCTAGACCTATTCATGGGCCGGGCCGGGCCGGGCTTTTACTCTTTATTAACAAAAAAATGTTAGGCCCGAGCCCAAGCCCAACCCGATCAACGGGCCTACAACTTGAGCCCGAGCCCGGCCCTGATAAAAAGCCCGAAGCCCGACCTAATAAAAGAAATTCTAATTTTTCCCTATTCAAATGGACATTATCTATTTTAATTTAGATGTTTTTTCCCCTATTTAAATGAACAACGGGCCTACAAGTGAATCAACAACCTTCTTAAATCAAAAAATTTATTCAAATGGACATCACATAGGGTTTTTACTTAGATTTAACTATAGATTGAACCTGGGTCAGACTCGGGCCGGGCTATTTTGGCAAAGCCCGAGCCCGACTCGAATTTTATGCTGGCCGGGCTTTTTGGCCCGAGGTTAAGCCCACGGGCCAAAAAGCCTGTTCAAACCCGTCCACCCAGCCCATGAACAGGACTCGTGCCGTGCCATGCCAGCCCATGGGCCTCGAACCCCTGGCCCAAGACAGCACGGACCTCCATCGAATGGAGTTCAACCCTAATCTAACCTGAGTTGTTGAACTTGAACCAACTCTAACTTCAATAGTTCAATCCCTACCAACCCAAACCGCTTCGGGCTGGTTCCGGTTACCAGCCAAAGCTTGATTGGACCACACTACCGTGTCTACCGAGCGTTGCAAAGGTGGCTCAGTTGCTTCTCAATAAAAAAATCCAAAATTAACCAACAAGCACCAGCCAAGAAAGGCTCGAAAATTGAGTGAGATGACAGGAGATAAGCACACATGTTACCAATCGAGATTTCACTGCATCCACCACTACCTTAGCGGGTACCCAACCCAACCAAATGGCCGGATTTGTTGCTTGTCTCACCGCCGACCAACACTCGCAATCTCTCTTAATCTCCACACGTTCTCATACGACATTTTCAAGGAGCCTGTCTCGACAGTCGACTCCCGAGTCCCGATCTCAACTCTCTCTCTCTCTCGGGATTTCAAAGGTGGGTCCTCATCTTCATCATCATCGTCAACTCCGCTTCCACCGACAAAAGCAGCCATGTACTCCCCAGTCCCCACACGCGTTTCTCTCTTTGATCAAGAAAACAACAAGGCCCAGGCCCATAGCCAGCCAATTCAGAGAAGAAGCCCATCTACCAGGCAGTCTGGCACTGTCTTCCACTGTCGGCAACTGTGCAATGCAAGCACTTCCTTCCAGCGACATCCACAGCTTTACAGCTATTTCGGGCCCAGGCCCACAATGCTATATCTACAGCCTCGTCGAATCGGACGGCTGCCGTAGCAAACTTCAAAAGAGCCTCCCGTCTCAACTCTCAACTCTCAACCGTATTTCACGGGATTATGATAAGGGTATGATAATCCCCTTAGCTGTCAATCTCTGCATGGACTCCCTTGACATTAAATATTACTAGCTATCCTTTGACCGAAATACCCTCCCTTAAACAACAATTCCAAATAAAGAAAAAGAAACAAATGCGTATCGGGCGTATCGGAATCGGGTGGATAAATAAAAAGAACTGAGAGTGAGAGAATTCCCTTATAAGTTATAAGAAACCTCAAAACTAGTGAGGATCAGCGTCTTCATCACCGCCTCCTCAAGAAAAGAATCAATTTTCATTGATTTTTTTTATCAAGAAACAAAAAATAAAAAATAAAAAGATTTAAAAAAAATCAATTTACAGCTTTGCCTTGGACGTGATTGTAACCATAGTAACTGAGGTACCATCTAACGAATTTCTTCAACCCGGTTTGCAAATCGGTGGTGGGTTTATACCCGAGTTCCCTACGCGCCGAGCTTATGTTAGCGTGCGTGAAGGGCACATCTCCGTTACCAGGCATGTCGATGATGTTCTTCTTCGCCTTCATTTTCAGATTCCTCTCTAGAATTCCGACCAGTGCCGGTACCGTTACCGGTGATGTGTTCCCCAGGTTGAATATCCGATATGGTGCCGGACCATGTTTCTTCCCTCTGCTTCCGGTACTCTTGCCCGCCGTGTCCAGAGACCCCAAACAACCCTTTACGATGTCGTCAATGTAGGTGAAATCCCTGGCGAGATCGACCCGGTTTTTCCCCCGGTACACAGTTATCGGCTTCCCTTGGAGAATGTTTCGGGTAAAGAAGAAGTAAGCCATGTCGGGTCTTCCCCAGGGGCCATAGACGGTGAAGAATCTCAGCCCGGTTATTGATAAACCGTAGATATGGTTGTATGTGTGTGTGATTTCTTCTCCGGCCTTCTTCGTCGCCGCGTACAAGCTCGCTGGCTGGTCCGTTCGGTCGGACTCCGAGAAGGGCACTTTCTCGTTGAGTCCGTAAACGGAGCTGGAAGAAGCCCAGACCACAGCCGGCTGAGGGTTCGCCGATTTGCAAGCTTCGAGCAAAGAAACGAGGCCGGCGATGTTGCTATGGACGTAAGAGTGAGGGTTCTCCATGGCGTACCTAACACCAGCTTGCGCTGCGAGATGCATAACGTGAGTGAACGCCACGATGTCAAAGAGCTTCGCCAAGAGACGGGCGTCGTTAATGTCACCCTCGACGACGAAGATGCCATGGTTGTTCAGCAGGGCTTTCCGAGCTTTTTTCAGAGATGGGTCATAGTAATTGTTGAAGTTATCAAGGCCCACGACGCCATCGCCGCGTTTCTTGAGAGCAAGAGAGACGTGAGTACCGACGAACCCAGCACCACCGGTGACGAGGACGGACATCCCACCGGACCGACGGATCTGGGCAGACGTTCGAACCTGTTTTTCCCATTGAATCCCACCCCAAGAAGCCGTGAAATAGCGACTGCCCGAGTGCACAAGACTCTGGAAACTGAGATACGAAGCTGTTAAAGCGATCAAGAAGAGAGCCCAGAGGAACATAGTACTGGTAGAAGCAAAGCATCGATGGAATTGTCGATTAATGGTGTGGGCTCTGTCCTTCTTGCCCGGCGTAGAAGGGAAGAATTCATCCTCCAAAGAAGGCATTTCTACTTACAATTCTACGTTTTTCTTTGCTCGAATGGTTGAGAGAAGAAATCAAGAACAGATGCAGAGGAAAGATGAAGGGCTTCGAGGCGTTTCCTTTCTGCACCTGCTGAGGGAGAGAATGCAAGAGAGGGTTATTTATGGTGGGACGCCCACAAGAAGAGACGAGTTTACGCGTTAACGCGGAATCGGACGGTTGGATTAGATGAGATACAATGACAGATTAAGCTGATCAAACGGCCTAGATTTTTTTAATAATAATTAATGATGAAGAGGAACATGGGCGCCCAACCATTTGTTAGTTGGCAAGAGTGAGGAGTAACCGGGCTGTACTATTTTAATATTATCTCATTATTATTTTGACTACTTAACTTTGGCTGTGGGACGGTGGGACCCGACCCTTTTACAACCTGTTGAACCGGTCATTGACTTGGGGAGGAAAACTGGGGACAACCGGCATTCGCCAGCGACCCCGGTGGCTTCGCTCTTGGGATTTGAGTTTGGGTTGGGCGGTGCTCCTTTGATCGACTGTCGCGTCCTTCTCGTATTCTATCTCCTTAGCCAGCTTGGATTTTTACGAAGCTGGGTCCCACTTACATGGGCTTTTTAGTTGGAACCCATGTTTCTTCCACTCTCTCTATCTTCATACGTGGCAAGCATGCAGTTAAGTGGGACCCATCAAGCTTGACGCGTGAATCATATGGCTGAGATGGATTTAACCCATTTGCGGGGCCATCCTTTGGAGTGGAAATCTTCTATAATAGGCAAAAGCGTGTACTTTGTACTGAAGTTTAAACTTACGCGGTAAAAGAAATTATTTATTTATGTATTTATTTTATGATATTTTTATCACGGAAAGAAGTAAGAAAGTGAGAAAACGAGATCAGTGGCTCCAAAGTACGAGAAAAATTCATTGTTTAGAAAGAATGAGAAACTGCCTAGAAAAGCAGGTTGTGAGAGGGAGAGAGAGAGGGGGGGGGGGGATGGTACGGTTTCAAATTTAGCAGGTTGGATTGCTTCCTTTGGATGCTGATGTTTCAAAGCTGAAGTTCTGATTGGAGGGATAAGCTTGAACCTCTCTGCAAATGGAATTGACAGATTGAGGCGCAGACCCTCTTCATTGTTTACTCAATTATCCATGTTTAGGGTTCTGAAGATAAAGTAGTTATTTGGACATTTTTGGTAAAACTTGAAAGCATTTTGTGGGTATTCTTTTGGCTAGTGGCTATAAATGGTTTGATTTTCAATTTTATTGAGTTTTGTTTTGAATTGCTTCAACGTGCTTTGAAAAAACATACAGAAATCAATTTATTTATTTTTACCTATAGTTTGATGGATATTAAGGCTGCCTTTCGAATTAGTGTAAAATGTCATCAAATGTAAAAAATAGTAATGAGTGGAAGAGGGTAAAATTTCACGTAGTTTTTATATTGATTATTCATGTAAAACTTTAGAGTTGATGAGATATTACATTGATTATTGATATAAAACTACATTTCACCCAAATGCATGCAAAGCTGAATCAAAATGTAACTTTACATTGATAATAATTACACCTCTTTCTAAACACTACAAAACTGAATCAATGTAAAATTTACATTGCATCCAAATGCAACTTAAATGATTTTATCTTTCATTGCAATTGAATGCTTAAACTAAATACTTGAATTTGGAGTCATTAAGGCTCAGTTTGAAAAGAGTATAAACATAAATATCTACAGTACAAATACATACAAAATGATACAAAATTTATGATTTTGCACTCTACATATTTGTATCTTTCGAAATTGAGCTTAGGCTTAGTATGATCTTGCAATATTAGCAATTCAAGAAAACGATGAATTAGGGACAGACTGAAAAGAACTTGGGCGGAAACTTCTACAATGACATTGGGACAAGGCTTATCCCATATGGTTTGGAATAAATATTAAACCTTCTATAATGACAATTTTGCTTTATTGTTTATATAGTATACATATTACCATTTGGGATAAATATTCAATTTATGTGGTGTGTAAGCAGAGCATAAAGCTTTCAAGGTACCAAATAAAAAAAAAACTAATAAATCATCTGTACATTGTTAGTTGAAAAGAGAAGATGAGGTGACCTTGCACTTGGAGATGCTCCTCTTCTCTTTGTTGTTTTCTTGGGAATTTGGTCCCACAGTTGCTAAATGAGTGTAAAGTTCACCTAATATGCCTATGGCTAATTGGCTATGACTTTCTTTTGGTATATGTGGTGCTAACATGGTACTCCCACTAACCATGGCCATGATACAGATTGAGTACAAGGCTTAAAGCACATTGAGAACACCAACAAAAGGAAGCAAAAGGTTGGAGTACATTTAGCTCTTTGAATTGGGGTTTCTGAGTTCTCTTCATTCTGAAATTTTGGATTTCTAATTGGAGACCAACTAGATAGAAATGGGAGATCATGTTGCAGCCACTATATGGAATCATGGTCCAACCTAAACCATCCAATGTGTTGTTTCATTTTTAAGGGTTGAAATTGAATAGCCTCAAGGATAGTGGTGCATTGAATTTGTATCCAGTTAGACATCAATGACCTTGGAGAATGTAAGGTCTCACTAAACTGAATCATGGGTAGATAAGCAGGAAAATGCTGATTCCAGTCTGAGAGCTTTCAGCTATCCTGTGCTGAAAAGTGCCAAGGTTTTGGTTTGTAACCACTCCACCACACCCAACACTCTGGATGTAGGAATCAGCATTAGGTAATGGCCCTTTTCTGTTTCCCACAAAAGAAAAAAAAATCAAATACTCAGAGCACAAATGCTATTGACAGCACTAAAATACCTCACCAAGACATGATGACTGCATAAGAGGTGGGGATAGTCTTTAATGTGCAGATTGTGTAGGAATTTCACATTCTATGAAGAAAGAGGAAAGAAAAAACAGTTTCCCCATGGAAAAATGGAGCATAAGATTCTTCAAATATGTTCAAGGCTATCAATGGATTGGATCATGATCCAGATACACCCAAAATCCAAAATGAATTAAGCTGCATGGATACTGAACAGTATAACTGCTTATAGGGAGATCAAATCTTGATCCACTTTAATTTAATTGTAATATATTATTAATATAAATTCATATATCAAAAAATGAGATTAACAGAGAATACTTAAACCACCATTTTTTTATGGAAAAATTTAGTTTGAAAACTTAATTTCCTTATACATATTATGCACAACCTTGTTGATTTATTTATCAAGGATTTTTAGTGTTGAAATGTTTGATCTTTTCCGTTTCATATTAGAAGTCTGTGTGAACACGAGTGTTTATCAATAGCATTGACATATGGCATGCAAATTTTAAAGAAAAATCTTAAGTTATGACCTTCTAGATGCTTCATTTTTATATATTCAAATCTTTTGGATTGTTTTGGTTGCAGTTCATGTGGCTTGGCACAAATCAAAGCAGTAATATATAATAACCCAATAGAAAAATTAATGCACCCATATGTTCTTGTTTTCTGATTACCCAATCTTTGAATGACAAAATTGAATCCTGAAGAATCCCTGAAATTTGGCTATCTTTTGATATAGAAAGCTAAAAGAAATCTCAAAATTCATAACAATTTTGTAGTTGAACATGATAGCCTCAAATTGTTACATCCTTGAGTAGTGGTCATAAAGATTTACAGAAATTCCTTAGCTTCTTGGCTAACCAATTAAGTTCTCTACCTCCTACATACAGAGAAAATCTCATCTCAATGAAAGAAGGATCAGGGAAATTGCTTCCTTTGCTTGCAGCCATGCATTTGGCCACTTGAAATTTCCTTACGAAAAATAAACAACCCAGTTTGAGAAAATTTGATACGTCTTGAGAACAGGAAGAAAGCAGAAATTGAGAACTCTCCTCCTACCGCCACATGGAGACGGGTGGAGGTGGTTGTCTGGTTGACCACAGAAAGCTTTTGGCTTAATTCCTTCTAACTGCCACATGGAAAATCCTTGTTTTAAGAGGCAACAGAGATGAAGTAAAATAATTGCAACCCAGATTAAATTGAACTTCAAAATCCATTCTTCCTCCAAATTTACTCATACCCATCAAAAGAATTTGATTATTTGACCAACAGACAGACAGAGAGAGGGAGATGCCAAATATAGGGCACCACAAGCTACCAAATCATAAACGTGAATACCACGCTGGTATATTCTTTTCCAGCCCAAGAAGCTAAACTAACAATTAAAAAAAATCAGATACAAGAAGGGAAAGAGAAAGACAAAAGAGTCATAAAGCTGTGAAAGGACTGGATTAGAAAGGCAGGAGAGTTTAGAATCATATATAGTTAAATATATAGTCGTCATTTTATATAAAAAGAATCCACAAATTTGTTTCTGTTATTTAATTGGGTCCCAAAAGTATGTATGTAAGCAAGCAATAATTGCAATTATGGTATCTCTTTACTTTACAGAGTTCACTAATCACTATGTTTGAATAATCTTTGCTTTAACGAATTAATATATTACACAAGCAACCATTCAAAGAATGAAGAAGATAGGCATCCAGATTATCATTAGACAACTTGGATGTTACTCGAACAAACAAGGATATGACAAAGACAAACCTTTAGTTACAAGAAAAAATACCCCAAGGAAACTGTTCATTTTGGTTTAGAAAAATAAGCAAACACCTTTAGGGCGAGGTGGGTGAGGCATCACGTCAACAAATCCATTAAACAAGATACTCTTGATTCATCAACGACTTCTTGCTTTTAGTGGGAATGATGGGTACGTGACTAGGTGGCAAAAGACAGCTTGCCCAGCTGTCCGGTCCGGCCAGGCTGGGTCTTGGAATAGATGTCCCGGCTTGGCTAGCCATTTATGTAAGTGTGTTAGGGTCTAGTCAGGTCTGGACCAATTTGCTTAATTATTTCTCCTTTTCAAGACCCATGCCATAAGCTGATTTACTTATTTCAAATACAGTGCTTTATTCTTACCATATGGAAGAAATCTATATAATCAAAGTTTTGAGTGTAAAAAAGAGTAGGGGTGTTTATGGTCCAGTCCAGTCCGGTCTGGTTTGATGAAAATCTTAAATCAAACCAGTAAATTATGACCTGAGAAATTCTCATATCAGACCAACCTGCAGTTTCTAATACGGGTT